AGTCTGTAGTTAGTACGGTTGGGGGTGGTTAGTAAATAAATGGCAGATTTCCCTAATTGTTTTTATACCCACTCTGGAGATAACCTGGGAATGACATATGTACACATGGCTCTTAGGAAGAATCGGCCTCAGATGGAATCACCATTGGAGGGAGAGTTTACAGCAAGTCAATATGGGGTTAAAACTATCTCCTAACGAGGCTTCGAGGAACTGGAGAGGCCTGGGAGGAGTGGAAATGGGGACATAACCATAACCACCACAAAGTGAATCCCTAAAAAAGAGTATCTTCCCTACTAACCCAAGAACATAGGAATATATAGTTTGGAAGGTTTGGAGAAATGAAATAATGGCTGACTTATGAATAATGGTGAAAATATTTGATGATGTGACTCTCAGGGAAGCAATTATGGTTAACCCCTCATTTGTTTGGTATTTTCAAGGATTGAACTGTCCCACATAACTGAATTTTCCAGACAACTAAAACTTTCCTATTTATGTGCCTTGAATGTTTTTTAACCATGCTTGGTGGAAATATTTCTGAAATAGATTATATAATTATCCTGCCTTCTTCAATAGAAGCTGTAAGAAATAACATTTCCTTAGGTGCTTTTGACTGCGAGTCTGAGAAGACCCGATTAAAAGAGGTTAAATAGTTAGGACTTGTAATCGTCCCACGTAACAAGAAATCCAGTTCCAGGGATGATGAATTCGGCAGCTCAGTGATGTCAGGCTGACTTTCCCCTTGTGGTCACAAGCTGGGTGCACAGCTCCAAGCCTCAAGATCTCACATGATAAGATCTAAGGCAAGAATGAAATGGGGGCTTCTCCTTACACGTGTCTTTAATCAGAGAGGAAAATATTTCTCAGGAGACCCCTAGCTGTTTCCCCTGGGTCCCATTGGCAGGACTGAGTCACATTTCCTTGCCTTGGTTTTATGGAATGGCTGCGAGAGTGAATATCCAGCACTTTCAGACTCTCGAGTGGAAGGAGGGCTCTGCTCATATAAAATAAGGATAAAGGTGGCTATTGGGGAGGCAACCAGGAGTGTCTGCCATGGTTACCAAGATTGGGGGTGAACGTGATGCACAGTAAGAGCTTGAGGGATGATTGAGCTTTCTCTTCCCACACTGGCCCCAGACTGGGATTCTTTTTGATTTCCTGAGTCTGATTTTATTTGTTATTCTCTCTCTTTCCTTTGTGTCAGACTGCTAGTTATCACTACTTGCTCTTAATGTTCCTTGTCCTCATCTTGCCATAATTAGATTTTTTTCCTGGATAAATAACATAATCCAAGTTGTTAGAACTATGCCTGAAATGTTCTGAGTGAGAATTTGACAGCTGTCCTGTGGATCAGACATGTAGTATGGCGTTTCTTTTGGCTGTTCAGGGTCATATTTCCATTGTTGAAGTTTTGGGAGAAGTGAGGAGTTTCTAGAGTCTTGTGAACTTAGATACAACTTTAATGAAGTCTTCTCATGGGGAAAGGATTTGCATTTGGGGTGGTTAAGCTTGTTTACCAGAGAAGATAAACTGTCTATCCATCTGAACCTCAGCATGGTTTAGGTAGAGGTGCTTTCAGCTCCCTCCCAAAGGGATGGTGGGCACCTGGAGAGCGCCACTAGCTCTGGGACTGTGACCAGTGGGACTCGTCACTGCAGCGACTGTCCAGTATGAGGCAAGCTGGTGCAGAGCTTAATTATTCCTGCCTCTGCCAGGGCAGCAGAGCTCTGTGAATGAGTCCTGAGAAATGCCCAGGTGCTGCAGAATTAGAAGTGTTTGGGTGTGACTTGTCTCAACAAGTTCTTGAAGAAAGGAATGCTTCGGAGATGGTTATTGAAATTATACTGAACAAGTGAGGACCATCCCTTCTATGGATAGAAAGCTGACCAAATTTCAGTCTCTGTGTACAGGAAGAGGGAAATCAGGAGCAATAGTCAAAATAATACTGACAATGAGTAACTTGAACCAAATGGAATGATTCTACTCCAGAAATCAAACCTGAGCTAGTAGGCGGGTTGGGTTCTAATGAAGCAAATGGTTAAAATGTTCAGTTTTGATATAGCTGAAACTATGAGCCCAAACTGCCTACAACTCCAGGAGTTCCTTCAGAGCAGGTTAGCTGTTTACAGGCCTAAAGTCATTATTTTACTGCGTGTCAGAAAATCATGAATTAGCCTATAGGCAAACGTTAAGTGACAGAAGCATTTGGGGATAAGGAAAACAAGTTTTGTTTTTTTTAATTCTGACTAATTTGTACCATTCAAATCATTCTTACAAGAAAAATGCAAAGAATTTCTCAAAAATATTTTAGTTATTAACTTTTTCTTATGCATAGAATATTTTTAAAGAAGCCATCCTTTTATTGACTGCTGACTAATATAGACAGGATACAACTTAGTTGAGCAAGATAGTTATATTTTTCTAATTTTTTACTTGCTTATATGTGAATTATTATGTGGATTACCAATTTTATCTCTGAAATACTGTGAGCATTCCTGCTCCCCTAATGATCCAGCCACTGTGTTCAAATTTTAATATTGGCTTCAAATATACTTTTTTAGAAAAATCTGCATGGAGAAATAATCATGTAATCAATGCTTTTTTGGAATCCTGGTACATATCAGTATATAGCTGGCTGGCAATTTTTTTTTTTTAATCAGAACAACTCACTTGCCTAGGTAAATAAATTTGCATTCACATTTGGAATTAGTTCTGATCTTAATTGGGCATTTAGGGAGCCAGAGTGGACGGTTCAGAACTAGGTGAGAAGATCATTTTTCAGCTGATCAAAATACCAGCAACTCATTTTCTACAAAACAAAATAACAGGAACAAAAAATATAATGCATTTCAAAGCCCAGAAAAGCTGGTCACTCAAGAGTCATGAAGCCTGTGGTATTATCTGTATTACTTTGCTACTGAATGGTGACTGTACTTACTTTAAATTTGTAAATTTTTGCCATTGAATTCTATTATTTAAAATTATTGCTTTTTTGAAGGGAAACTTACATGGTAAATACTTTTCATCAATCACCCTATTGGTGATTGCCTTGGGGGTTAATCTGAATCTCATTTTATATTTGGGAATTTATATATAATATAAACATAATCAAAGTCAAATTAAAGTATATGTGAATACACTTTTTTTCTAAAATAAATCGGAGGAAATGAAATGAGTAATCAGAAAAGATATAAACTTAATTTTAGAAAGCAATATTTATCCAAAATGACTGAAGAAGTTATAGATCATGCTTTGTAATATGAAGGGATTCAAAAGGGTTTTCTGAATTGAATTGTTTATAATTTGAGTCAGTCTGTTTTTCATATTTTGTATTGTTCCTATATGTTACTGAATCTCTGTTTTGGCACAAATAGTCGTGTATTGAAATTGCATTGAGGCACTTGGAAAATGTGACTAAAGAGTGGACATTCAAAGTCTTGCCACTTTTCTTTGGTGGTGGTGTGATTCATATGTAGAAACCCCCTGCAGCACTGAGTCAGAGTCAGATACACTCGGAGGGCTAAGAGGCCTACCAACTGGACAAGTTTTTGTGTCTTGTTGTTTTTTTTAAAGTTTGCTACAAACCTAACTTTTCCTTCAAGAAATCATTTTGGGTGCTTAGAGGGCCTAGTCCAAGTCAAATGTCACCCTGAACTGGCGTGGTGATAGATGCATAACTATCTAGTATGTTTTTTTTTTTTTCATATACTTGTCTCATGTAGCCAAAGAGATGAACCTCGTACATTCTTCACAGTAGAGACCTGAACTTACTAAATTGTAGTTTGACATAGTGAGTGTGTTGTGAGCAGGTTAGACCAGTATCCATCAGAGCAGGAGGCAGGATGGCCCAGTAGAAGGAGCTTGGGATTTAAATCATGGACTGGATTTGAGTCCTGCCTCTGCCTAGCTATGGCATGAGCAAGTTAATAAACCTCTTGGAGTCTCAAGTTTGTTCGTTGTTAAATGCAGATGGTAAAAATAACGTCTGCTTTACAGAGTTATAAGTATCAAATTAGATAAAGTATGTAAAAGTATTCTGTAAAGCTAGAAAGTTCTATACACATTTTTCTTATTATTTTTTATATATTAATGTGCCTGTTCTTTGTTCTAGACGTGGATAACATTCACACAAATATACGGTATATACCTTGAGGAATGTGCTATTGAAACATTCTGTGTTTTTAATAATGATTTGCCTCAACTTAAAACAGGAAGTCATTTTATTTTTAAAAATTGAGTTCAAGAACCACAAAATGAACAGATAGAGCACATAATACTTAACAGCAAATATTAGAATCAGTCTATACTGTAACAAGTATTTAGTCCCTGTTGAATTCCATTAGGGAGCTCCTACTGGTTTAGGAGATGTATGTGGTAACACATGTGGAAAAATGTAAAACTACCCAATATCAAAATTCACTGCTTGATTGGAAGTTAAGCAATAACTTTATCTTTTCTGGTGGTCCAGTTGCCATAGCCTATAAAATAGAAAGATTATCACCTGCCCTCTTAAGCCCCTTTCCAAATCCATTCTTTAAGGGCAGCCTCCGTCCCACCTCTTCCATCAAATTCTAGGTGAGGAAGACACTGCCTAACGTGTCTAGAGTTGATGCTATAACGGAGACTTAAAACAGGCATGTAACTAACTCCTCCATGGAATACTGGACAAAGTAAGTGCCATAGGGGAAGTTCAGATGGATAGAGTACCCAGCCTCTGTAGCCATTTCATAGCATTCCTTCAGCATCTATACATTATGCCTAATATTGGTTTAATTTTCATTTATGTGTGATTTGCCTCTCTATCTAGATTGTAAACTCCTTGAAGGCAGGGGAGGCATCTCGTGCTTCTTGTTGCCTCTCTCCATACTTTTTACCTAAGCCTCAACCAGTATTTGTGGTTCGAATAGAGTCTTGTACCCAACATTCAGATTTAGCCAAAAAAATGTGTTGTAAGATGCATTTAAGACCTAACTTTCTTTTCCTCTCTTCTTTCCTTGCAGTTGACCTGCCACTGTTTTTCCCTCGAGACCAGCCGACTCTCACATTCCAGTCCGTCTATCACTTTACCAACAGTGGACAGCTTTATTCCCAGGCCCAAAAAAATTATCCATACAGCCCCAGATGGGATGGAAATGAAATGGCCAAAAGAGCAAAGTAAGTGAATCTATTGTTATTTCCTACAAATAGGAACATTTTGTTTATCTAGTCCAGGGGTTGGCAAGCTACTGCCCGCAGGCTAAATCTTGCCGTGTGCCTGTTTTTGTAAATAAAGTTTTATTGAAACACAGGCATGCCAATTTCTTTACTTATTTTCTATGGCTGTTTTCATGCTACAATGGCAGAGTGAGTAGTTGCAACAGACCACATATGGCCTGCAAAGCCAAAAAGGTTTGCTATTTGGCCCGTTACAGAAAACGTTTGCCAACCCCTGATCTAGCCTCATCAAGTAGATTGATTTTTTTTTAAATGAGTTACAGGATTTATCTGAAATCTGCCTCTCTATTTAGATTAGAGAAGAAATACTAGATAGGAATTGGCGTTGTGGATAAATGGTGTTGATGATGAAAATGTTGGCAGCTACTTTTATATTTTTTCATATTTTTCATATTTTTTTAAATGGAAAATTTCATCTGACAGTAAACAAATAGAATTTATGCTTAGTAGTCAATACATGGATCCAGTACCTAGTTTTTCATATGGAACTGTAATGTCTTTGAAGGAACAGAGTGAATTATAAACATCTTTGTATCTCTGCAGCCATTGTCCAAGGTAGGGCCTGTGTCTTCCTTGATTGAATAAATGGCTACACAAATAGATTAGAACTGTTAAAATCTCTATGAAAGTAGATTGGGAATCTGACAGAAGTTGAAGTTAGCTAGAGTTTGGAATTTAGAGATATAACTATGTGTAGAAAGCTTTCACCAGTCATATGGTATAGGTAAGACTTTAATATCTGGAACACTAGTCTTCATGAACCATGGCTTCCTAGATTGAAGCAACAGTGGATTAAAATCATAGTTTCCAAAAATAACTCATAGTTAGAGTGGCAGGTGGTTATTATTTTATCGCTCTGAAGAGCCATATTCTCACACCTGTGATCCCAGCTGAAAAATGATCAGATCCAAAGAATCACACAAATGAAGAATATTAAGCATCCTCTTCATTTGTTCATCTAGTATTTATTGAGCATCTACCATGTTCCAGGCAATGTGCTCCACACTGGGGATACAATGATAAACAAATTAGAAATTGTCCATGTCTTCATGGAATTTATAGCCTAGCAGGAGAGATCAAAGCCTTTATCATTTCAAACTTCTGCCAGTTTTAAAGTACCTGCTAACAAAACCTGGCCTTCCAGACCTAGAATACTCTTGATTAGTAGGACTTCTTGCTCTTGCCTCCTCCTCCCTGAGACGTCTTTCCCTCCCAGGTGCCTCCTAGCATCTCCTATTCTTTCTGTAGTACAAGACCTTCACTTGTAGCAGGATTGGGGCTCTTTTAAATAATGACAGAGGGGCTTTCTCTAGAAATCCAGGCCTCCCCAGATTCATATGTGGAATCCAGAGCTGTTGTTATCTGAAACTTCAGTGTGCCCTGTCTCCCTTGTTATCTATGATGCCCAAGTCTGAAATTCTATTTAAGGAAAAAACACAAACATATGCAAATATAACTAATAACAATGATTAAGACTTACATATCTTGAAATAGACTTGAAAAAAGGGATGATAAAGTAAGTTTTATGTTCAAGATATTGCAGTTGTTTAATTTTCTGGGCTTTCCCTGTGTATACATAGGATCTGCCCTCAGAAGATGGGCTGTTATTTGTGGTATGTGCTATGGAGTCTGAACCAGACGTGTCTTTGTGGTTTCCATGGCAAAGCTATCTTGTGTGTGTGTGTGTGTGTGTGTGTGCATGTGCGCGCATGTGTTTCTTAAGTAGACATTTTAGCATGTATGAATTGAGTCTTTAAGGAGTTGCAGACCACAAGCCTATGATTTCAGTATAGGAATATTGTAAGTGAAGCCTGTTTATCTTAACAAATTGGTTCAGAGTTGCAAGAGACATTTGCTTTATGTTAACACCAGTCTAAAGAAAACATCTGAAGTAACGTTAAAAAAATCTGCTTTCCACTGTAGTGAGGATGGATCCATTTTAAATGTAATAAAAGAGAAAGCCAGCAGTGCATACTAGGAAGAAGAAATAGTTTAAAAGCTCCCTTCTTAAATTGAACTGAGTAACTTCCCTGGGCTGTGTCAGAAGGCCAGGTAATGGATAAACACAACCAGAGAGCTGGCCTGCAGTAGACGAAATTGGTGCAGAAGGTTGGAGAGAAAGGATAGAAAGAGAGAAAGGTCAACTGCAGCATTCCTTACACGCCCTGTTTCTTTGTCCCGTGAAAATATTGTATGTACACAGTGCGTAAAAGGCTATAATTCACTTGGAGAGCTCTACCCATGACATAAACACTCTCACGGTTTATGAACAGCAGTAGAGCCCTTTGAGTGGAGTCAGCTGTTTATTCCCTCCTGTAGAGGAAAATTCTAAACATCTGAACTGAGAAAGGACCGTTTCTGGCCCTGACCAGGGCTTTTCCTACCACATGTGCTTCTTACTCTCGGCCATCCAGCAAATTCTGTCCTCACAAGTGAAATACTCTCTATTGGGTGAGCACAGATTTTTGGGTTATGCATGCCCCAGTTCCTATCGCAAGTTCTAATCCTGTAAGCTCTGTGGCCTTGGGCAGGGCTGTGAACTTCCTGTAAAACAAGTCTGTACCCCTGCCTACTGGATGGGCTTGATATGAAGGGTCAGTCACTGAGTGGACTTGTGTAAGACCCTTGGGTTTAGTTTCTGCTTTGTCCCACAGTGCCTTTGCTCACCCCTTTCCTCCTGCCCGCTTTCTGCCCCTTCAAATCTCTTCATCCTTCAACATTCTTCTTTATGGTTTTCCCCATCCGTGCTGACTTGCAGGCAGCTCTTTCCCCTCTTCCTAATCTCGGTTGACTGTTGGTCATATGCTGCTTTGAAATCTCTTTCGTGTTGTTCTTTGATTTTTCACATCTTTGTTTATGTCTCATTTCCTTAATCAAATTGTGAGTTCTTTGAAGGCAGGGGCTTTGCATATCTTTTTAAAGATATTTATTGCAGTGTAATTTATATACAATGTAATTTACATACATTGAAGTGGACAGATTTAAATGTATCTTTGAATGGAGTTTTGACAAAGTTACCTTCTCCCCCTTTCCAATTAGTCTCCTCACCCCCAAGACAACTGCTGTTTGATTTCTATCACCTTGTCTTAGTTTTCCCTCTTTTAGATACTTCTTATAAATGGAGTAATACAGATTGTACTATTTTGTGTTTTTTGTGTTCAACACAATTATTTTAGATTTATCTGTTATAGCATTCCTCTTTTACCGCTGAGTAATAGTTCATTATATGAATATACCGTAATTTATTAATCCATTCATCTGTATATGTATATTTGGGTTGTTCCCAGTTGGGGATTTTATGAATAGAGCTGCTATGAACATTCTTATATAAGCCTTTTTATAGCCATATGTTTTCAATTCTGTGGGTAAATACCTGGGAGTGGGAGTATGCGTATGATTAACTTTATAAGAAACTGACAAACTTTTTCCCAGGTCGTTATACCAGTTTACACTCCCACAGGCAATATACGGGGTTTCAGTTGTTCCATATCCTCTCCCACACTTGGTATCATCAGTCTTTTTAATTTTAGCTATTCTAAAGGGGATAAAGTGATACCTCATTGTGTTTTTAATTTTGACTTCCTGATGATTAATGATGTTGAGCATCTTTTCATGTGCTTATTGGTATATCTTCTTTTGCAAAGTGTCTGTTCAAATTTAGCCTATTTTTAATTGGGTTGTTGGTCTTTATTATTGAGTTTTAAGAGTTCTTTATATACTGGTCATATATTACAAATATTTTCTCCCGATCTGTAGCTTGCCTTTTCATTTTCTTAATGGTGTCTTTTGATGAACAGAAAATTTTTATTTTTAATGAAATCTATTTTTATCAATGTTTTCTTTTTATGTTAGTGCTTTTTGTATCCTCATAATTATTTGCCTACCACAAGGTCATGAAGAGATTCTCCTATTTTTTTTTCTAGAAGCTTTGGTTTCGGTTTGATATTTAGGTCTATGATCCATCTCAGATTAATTTTTGTGTATGGTATTAGATAGAGGCTAAAGTTAATTTTTTGTTTATATATATCCAGGTACCAGCAACATTTGTTGAAAAAACTTGTCTTTCCCTGTTGAATTACCTTCATGCTTTTGTCAAAATAAATTGACCATATATGTGTGGGTCTATTTCTGGATACTCTATTCTCTTCCTTGGATCTATTTTTCTATCTGTATACCAATACCAATATTTCTTAAAATCAGAAAATGTAAATTCTCCAATTTTGTTCTTTTTAAAGATTGTTTTGGCTATTTTAGATCCTTTGCATTTCTATATAAATTTTAGAATCAGTTTGCCAATTCCAGCCCCAACTCCCCCTCAAAAAAAAAAAAAAAGCCTGCCGAGATTTTGATTGGGATGGCATTGCATCAGTAGATCAACAAGGGAAGAATTGACATTTTAACAATATTGAATCTTCCAATCAATGAACATGGTTTTATTTAGGTCTTCTTTATTTTCTCTCAGAAATATTTTGAGATTTTAGTGTGGAAGTCTTGCATATTTTTTATGTTTTTGCTTTTATTGTAAATGATAGCTTTTTAGATTTTATTTTCCAGTTGTTGCTAGGATATAGGAATACAAATGATTTTTGAGTATTGACCTAGTGTCCTATGACATTGCTAAATTCACTATTACTACTAAGTTCTAGTAGCTTTTTTTAGATTTCTTAGAATTTTTTACAGAAACTGTCATATCATCTATTAACAGCTGTATATCTTTCTTTCCAATCTTTATAATCTTTATGTTTTTTAATTTCTTTTTCTTAGCTACTTGCACTGATTAGGATCTTAAGTACAATGTTGTACGCAAGTGGTAAGAGCAGACATCTAGCCTTTTATTTCCACGTTAAGGTTGATATTAGCATTAGGTTTTATATAGATGTCTTTATCAGATTGAAGAAATTCCCTTACATTCCTACTTTGCTAAGAGTTATTATCATGAA